AAAAGTCGCTTATATGTTAAGTGGCCACGACACTTTGAAGTCGGAAACGATTGTCCTCGTTACTGCAACATGGCTACTTTGGGGTACTGCCGATCTTACGATAATTTCTTATGTTTATTCTCAATTGATCTAATATATTCAAGATATATAACAGAATGCTTCAGGAAACATAGTGTCACAGAACGAAAACCATTTTATTTGACTAGTTCCCTTCACATGTAATTTTCACAACCGAATCAAAAGTTTAACATCCTAAGATTTATGAAATGCGGAAACTAGCTTCTTAAATTTCTAATAACGGTTTGACGTCATTTTGCCCTATGAATCAGGTTGCAAATAAAGATGAAAAAGATACAAAAATCATTCATTCCAAAAGAAAAGAATAAACTATTATATCTATAAAACTCGACAAAATTACAGAAAAATAATAAATAATCCATTGCCTAGATATATTTATGTCTTGTTTTAAGTTTTCATGTCTTTTTTATGTGTGCGTTGTTACGAGCCGAGGTCCAGGCAGTTTGGGTGGCCGGAGGTTGCATGCAATTGGAATTTTTTGGATGAGGTGCGTAGACCAGCCGATGTTTATTTCGACACGGGTGGCTACCTTCAAAGGAAAGTTAGGATGCGGTGCGTAGACCAGCCAATGTTTATTTCAGTACGGGTGGCTACCTTTTAGGTTAGGATGAGGTGCGTAGACCAGCCGATGTTTATTTCGACACGGGTGGCTACCTTCGAAGGGTTGTTTGGAGAAATTGGTGTTAGGGTGCCTCGTAACTTTGTTAAAAGAAATAAAGATATACCTTGAGCGGTTGAGGTATACCTTGGTGGGTTTTTACCTACTACTGTTTCGAAGCAGGAGATGGAAATGATTGAAGTAGAAACCAAAGAGAACTGGTAGAAACTAATTTATTGCGCGTTGAGTTTAACAAGTGTGAGTGTGTGTTTGCGGACTCTAAACGCGCTCTCAGTTTTTCGCACTGAACCGGCGGGGGCTTCTGATTCTAGGTTGTTACCTCGTAGATTTGGTCGAAAGAGAATTTAATTCGATCTCACTGACGTTCGCGTTGACGAATGTCACGAAACTAGTGCCGTGGTAAAGATGAGGGAGCTTGCGTCCGGTCGAGAGGAAAAGTACGTCGTGGGTCTGCTCTTCGACATTGCTGCGGCCTTTGATAATGTCTGGTGGCCAAGCATACTCAACGCGTTGAGGAAGCGAGGCTGCCCAAAAAACCTATTTAGATTGGTGGTCGACTACTTCGACGGCCGCGTGGTGACTATGGTGTCTGATCGCGGTGCAGTGCGGAAGAAAGTCACTAAGGGCNGTACGTTACAATTAATATTGTTTATTTTAGTATTAATTGATATTGTTACATTAATCTGTTAAGCTTCAACGTTATTCGAATAAATGTTAATTATACTTATTACACTATATTTTAGTTTACCCTGATGTTATTTACTTAAAATACGTATGGCTTTATGGAAATTTCGCACTTGCTTTTTGGTTAAATAGATAAATTTACGTTCTTCTAGAAATAAATATTGTATTTATGAATTTAATCAAGTATATGGTTTCCTTTATTAATCCTAAAATGTTATTGATGCACTACCTTTTCATTACAATGAAATAATTATAAGAGTTCAGAAAAATATCAGGTAGCTTTATGGAAATTTCGGACACTGTAGAGGACAAGTAGAAAACTCTCGAAAGAAGCCGATAATCCTGCCGGTACAATGGAGTCGGTATCATTTTGAAAACCAATATCCGCGCGCATTAGCGGATCTAAGAGAATTCTCAAGGAATCGATTTCAACGCGTATATCGAACGTCAAGCTCCGTACGAATCAACTTCGAGTCATATCCTTTCATCTTCGCGGATGGCTCACCATCGTACGAATCGCAACTCGGAAAATTAGACGATTAGAAAAGAGCAAGACAGAAACGGATATATACACAGGGTGTTCCACAATTACTTTAACAGCCGAAAATGAGGGGTAGCTGAGGTCATTTGAAGTAACTTCTTCCTTTACGAAAATGCAATCTGCGGCTTTGTTTACAAGTTATTAACGAAAAACACTGGCCAATGAGAGGTGACGGTGCGAGAGAGAGAGAGAGAGAGAGAGAGAGAGTCCGCGAGAGAGTCCGCAGCACGAGGCTTTGACAGATGGTCGGAACGGACTCAAGCCGCGTTCGAAGTATTGAACAAATCACGAAACGAGAACTTTCCGGATTTTTTTTTACTACGTAACAGTGATATTTTTAAGAAAAACGCTGTTCACCTTTACTTTAGAACGTCTGAAGAATATTTACTAATTTTTCGGAC